CAAACAGCCAAAAAAGTAGAAAGTGGAAATATTTTCCTACTTCCTCGGAAAATGTGGTCTATCAAACACGGCTTTAGTTAATTTTTTTAAAGTGTTTCTTTTAATTAGAAGAGTTTTTAGAGAAAATTTCCTCAACTAGTTTTCAAACATCAATTAAGGAAGATTCAAACAGAAACTCCTTTTCAAGAAGTAGAAACAAAGGCAAAATCCCAAGCTCGACCAAACAGGTCCTTATGAACTTCTAATGGATGAATTCATATTTTGAAGAATGGTTTCACCTATGTTTGGCTCATTTTCAATAAATCAGTTTATATACACTCAAATCTGTTTTTATTCATACATTTCAAGAAATTTACAAGTACTATGTATCTGTTATCATTTTTTATTTATTTATAATTTAAACCGTTTATTAAAAAATAAATAAACAAAACATGCTCCAAATGTTTCCTAACATATCTCACTCATTGGTATCAGGGGATGCACTAATAAGCTCATGTCATAGAGCCGAGGATTCTAGTTCTAATGGAGTCACTTAAAGAAGAAAGAAAGTACTCGATAAAAAAGGAGAATAAGAATACATTAACAATAGCATTCCGACAAAAATACACTCGAATCAGTAGGAAAATCTCTTTTTCTACTTTTCATTCAAATCAAACTAATATGTAAGTCATAGTTAGAATTATGTATCAATGCAACATCTTTTCTAGATCCAAGATCCAATAACACATGGATTCAAGAAAAATGTATCTGATTTTTTATTTTTTTTTAATTTAAAGTTGATTTTAAACTCTTCAAATAATGCATCACATCTCTATAAGGTTAAATCGAATAAGGATTCAAGATAAATATAAAAGTCTCTCTCTTTTTCTTTTTTTATTATTCAAATCAAAATATGCATCTCTTTCTTGGACTTCTAATTATATAAGAGCATGTTTGGTAGCAATTAAAATGACGCTTAGCCGCAAACCTTGACCGGCCATCTCATATGCGGGCCCCATTAACAGTCAGAATTTTGATTAGAATTCGGCCAAAATTAGCATCAGACATGTTCTAAATATGAAAAAAACCTATGCCCTTCTTTGGTGGAAATTAAAATTAAATAAAAATCAATAATACAATTAACGAGATTCACAATTTTTTAATCACACATTTCATCAATTTTTATTAAAATTTACTAAAAATTTGATTTCAATTCCACCCAAACAAGGACTAAGAGTTATAATTCTATCAGCTTAGAATAAACACTGCTTCAAGACAAATACATTCCTTCAATTAAATAAGATGACACTTTTTTTGTATTGGAATCAAAATTGGGTGTATTGCCGGCCAAATAATCTCTTAACTTCATTACAAAATTCTATGTAGATATTCAACTGAATTTGAATGTCACTTTCCATTTCCCTTAAAGATGTAGCTTTCCCCATTTTAAAATGTATCACTATTGTAGAGATGTAAAGTTAAATAATGCAATCTAATTTAATTGGAAGGGATAAAGACACGGCATATGCCGGGCTACCTATGATATTAATTTTTTTTTTTTTTGTTTTTTATAAAGA